AAAAAGTACTAACTTCATTGTCGGATAGACATCCGGGTCTTCAGCAACCCATGCTTGTCATAAGAGGCAACTAACGGGATCGGGTCGTCGCTGACTTTGTTGACGCACGTTATCGTATCGAAAATTCGTAGATCGATGATAATGATGTCAGTCACTGGATTATCTGGTCCAGATTCGATTATTTGCAGACTGCATTGCCGAGTGCAATTCCAACCAGGATTTCCATGGGTCGCTTCTGAATCTAAAATTACTCACCTCAACCTTTCCTCACGGACGTGAACGTGATGCTTGCATATGCCGTCGATATGTCCTACCCGACAAACTTGGCCCACTAGGAGTCCGCAAACGTTGAGTTCTGTGAGAGTTCACGTTTCAGGACAGTTGGACAGGGCCAATAGCAGGGTCGTCATATGTTCCATCTATTTGGTGTCATCAACCCATTGTTGCCATTACCCTCAACTGCCAATGTTTTCTCGTTTCGTTGTTTTTAGATTTTAGAAAGCAATATCTGCCCATTTTAAATTACTCGAAAGAGCATTTACTCGATATACCATTTGTCTTGAACTACGAATAACTCGACATCATTGCTGTTGTTATATGTGATAGTTATCATTTTCATCATTTAATAAAATGCTATTTAAATATAATTTTCTATACAATAATCGTGTTAAAAAAGGCTTTAAGTGTTGTGACTGACTTACATTACAACAGTTACTACAGGGCTGAGCCTCCACGTGTTTATTCCCATGTTGGAAAGGTCAGGCCCCGATTTCTCGAAAAATACTTAAGTTTTTACACAAATTTTAAACTGAGTATGACAATTTGAAACAGCTGCATTTTTAACTCAGCTGCCGTTTTAAAATAAAAAAACCCCAAACAACTTAAGTAATCTATCAATCAAACTCAAATTGTGTACTATGTATGAGTTTGATATCGACTTCAGCTCATTCTAGGAAATGCATTTTCCTGCGTTTTCTCAAATTTGAGTAAACAGTATAAACTCTAGCTTAAGTCAAAACCCAGACTTAAGTTTGTTGCGAGAAATCGGGGCCTGACCACACGTGGAAAGGGTTTTGTTGATTGTATTTAAAGTGGGTGCTGATCCCGCCACGTTAACGCCAACACTGGACTACTCAAAGGTGATCGGGGCGGTGGAAGGGAGGCAGATCAGAACCCACACAATCAGACCACTGACTTCAGGGTATCGTTTTCATTATCAACGTCTTCGACACGAAGCAGCTACACGAAGACATCCCTTTATTTCTCAAAGTCGAACGAAAGGTGAGATCAGAGTATTGCATTTGAAATTAAAATAAGCAATGTATGAACATGATGTTTTGTTTCAAGGACAAACTTTATAACTGCTTTTATATACGTGTACCAAGAAGGCCACTGCACCTACGAAAGAATACTGCTGCCACTTTTGTAGCATGAAATATATTTTTCAACAAAAGTTTTCGTTGCCTCGATTGCTCGAAATTTCAAGTTTTTGGAAGAAACTTGAAGTAACGAGAAATCGCTTAAAGCAACGAGAGAAAAAATCGAATTTACGAGAAAATAATTGAAATAACGAGAAAATACTCGAAGCAACAAAAGTTTTCCATGAAAAAAAAATCAGTTTATGCTACGGGTGTGGCAGCATTAGGCTTGGCATTCAAAAGCAGTCGAACAATGATTTAGACAGTTTCACGGGGAACAGTACAGTCCGGGTAAAGGAGGTTTCATTTAAATTCGTCATGGGCATCCAGTTATTTCGAAATACCTTTAGTCATTATTACAAATACGCCTTCATGTGTGAATTTGTTCAGTTAAAGAAGATATATAAGTTCTGTGATAGGTTTATAAACAACATATCAAATATATCGAATATTGATATGCTCTATAGTGACAAATATAGCCTTGTCTTGCGTCTGTCACGTGTATTATGAGAACAGCAACTCCTTCTCCAACGATCTAGAATCTGAGTACGTGGTCCTTAACGCAGTCAGCACCATTGCATCCGTGGTTCTGCGAGTACGTGTCACGGACTGCCTTTTTAGAACGCAGTGGGAGGTGCATCGTCAATAAGAAGGGCGCTTTTAATGGTTAGGTTGACAAGGCAACAACAAAGCATTTGAAGATTTTGACAATATGCACGCACATCAAGAAGCAATTCTCAGCATGTAATCTCGTTTTACGTGTAACTAACCGTGACTTACATATAATGGTGTTAACTGTTTCGACGAAATGCGCGTTGCTTTGTCAGAATCAGCATCTTAACTCTTTCATTGATCTGATTAATTAATTTGGGATGGCAAATAGTAAACGTCCGTGTATCTAATTTGTCCGTTCGCATTTCTCGCTCTGTGATGCATGAGGGAACATATGCGACTATGAAACGGGCAGTTAACAGCTAAAAATAGATTTGGCAATAAAGTTTAATTTTCGAGTCCCTTTTGGGCTTTAACCACATAAGTTACAAATATGTGTAGTTTTAATATCATATGGTGTCCTTAAGCACTGGTATATCTTATCTGTAGGATGTATTTGATAAACATCACAAACAACATCATTACTGATTATGTCCGAATAAGGTAAAACCCAATAGCAACCAAAACCATTACTTAATGAGAGGGAAAGTCCATTGTACGGATCCCATTTGTCATAAGCATCTATTTGCGAATCATTTGCATAAACAAGGCATTTGGTAGAATTATAACCAAATAGTTTAACAAATATATGAACTTTAAGACGTTACTATAGACACATGTATTATTTATCCTTTAAACGTATATTTTCCGTTTATGCTTTTCAGCTTGGACGAAAAAGTCTTCCAGCGATATATATTTACCTTTCTTTAAAATATTGTCTTTCGCTTGCAAAGTAGCATTATATTTATTTGTTATGTTGTGTGGGAGAATGAATGTCTATATTTTGTAAATTCATTTGAACTTCTACATCTTTCTGATTCCAGTTCGTCATGTTTTTACTTTCTAACCAGTTCATTAAAACATTCAACATTACAGTCATTATTAAAACTGCATGCTATTCTTTATGGTTTTTTACCTCAGTAGTAGAAACATATAGATGTTCTGCAATATAACAATGCTTCCCCCAACACTGACACACGCTATATTGATCAATTCCTAAACGTTATCAGACAAACAGTTTTCTAGATACTGCCCAGTGTTGTCGTTTTCCCACACAAATTCCAGGGTTTGCCAGGCCCATATGAAGTGTGCGTAATTTCAGTACAAGAGGACCCGTGAAGATCCGGGGTAAAATAGGTCTTCCGCAGGCCATGCTTGCCATAAAAGGCGACTATGCTTGTCGTAGGAGGCGACTAACGGGATCGGGTGGTCAGGCTCGCTGACTTGGTTGACACATTTCATCGGTTCCCAATTGCGCATATCGATGCTCATGCTGTTGATCACTGGATTGTCTGGTCCAGACTCGATTATTTACAGACCGCCGCCATATAGCTGGAATATTGCTGAGTGCGGCGTAAAACTAAACTCACTCAGTACAAGAGGGATATGACTGGATTCGGTACGTGACAGTCTGGTAAAATCACTGGCATGATAAAACAACCGAAAGAAGCAGTCACATAATCATATTATTTGCACCTATACATGTAAAATCCTCAATGTTTACTTTTTTGTTCACATCATAAAACAAGCAAACATCTGCCGAGCTTGTTGACGGTTTTGTCAATAGATAAACGTTTGAGATTTAAGTAATCAAACTCAAAGTGAATTCCCACAATATTTCTTTTTGAGTTTCTGTGCGTTCAATTACGTCACCCTCCACAAAATCAGGATCTGTATCCGTTTACAATCCCTTCCATAAAAAGTGTAAACACACATGACATTTTTGGTAAATGACTATCTTGGAATATAGGAATACGAATTTTGGATTACATACTTGGTTTGATACATTAGGTAGATCCCATTGGGTGGAGGGGCAGCCTAGTGGTTAAAGCATTCGCCCCTCACGCGGAAGGTCCGGGTAATCTATCCCTTACATTGGTACTATAAGTTGTTTCGTAGCTTATTTAAAATCATCAAGAACCTTGTTTGATCTGCTTCGAGATACGCCATATAAGATCACGCTGTTCGTCTGTTTCTTGCTCCTGGTTTCCAAAAGGGACTTCATCTGGGCATTTTAACTCGTCAACTTTATTAAATGGCCCGAGGTTTAGTACAACCGGTGGAGCTGTGTCTGTAGGCATATACGTATGACATGGGAGAGTATTTGGTGTGTACGTGTTCTGATATAAGTCCCACATACCGGGAGCATACAACCGGGAAGTTCCGGGTTATTACTGGTCTTCAGAACCTGAGCTTGTATGGGGCAGGTGGTCAGGCCTGCTGACTTGGTTGATGATGGTCATTGTGTTCCAGTTGCGGAGACAGATGCTCGTAGTGCATCACTTTAGTCTTTCCAACATGAAGCTGAGAAGCTGAAATACTGTTCAAAGCGGCGTAAAAGGCAATCCTCACCCAAATCTGTCTCTCTTATCCCTTGCTTCCAGTTTCCTCCGGACTACGATGACAAGCCGTCAAGAAGTGAGTGAACTTGATCAGCATTGGGTCCACTCGGTCGCCTCTCCCTCTTATATATTGTTCTCCGTCATAAACAATCCAGATGCTCTTTAGATAACGGAGTGAGTGAGTTTAATTTTACGCCGCTTTTAGCAATATTCCAGGAATATCACGGCGGGGACACCAGAAATGGGCTTCGCACATTGTGCCACATTTCCACCGCCCTCTTAGATAACGGAACCCATGCTCGTCGTGAAAGGCGACTAACGGGATCGGGTGGTCAGACTTGCTAACGTGGTTGACATATGACATCGTATCCCAGCTGTGTAGATTGATGCCCATGCTGTTTATCATTGGATTGTCTGGTCCAGACTCGATTATTGACACACACAACTGTAATGTTGCTGATTGCGGCGACAAACAACCAACCTTAGATAACGGACACGTTGCTATCTAGATTTGACAAAGAATCACAGATTAAGCTTTTCGAAGAGTTTATTTCAAAATACGTTGACTATAAAACAGCAGTGATATGTAAAAATATTCGTGTAAGTTATCACAATAATCACTTACTCAATCCACACACCCATTGGTCTATATTTTAATGACAGAACATCACTCATACGCATTATTGTCTCAAACATCCGTACCTATGCCCCAAGCATCAACAACTGTATGATCTTCATTGGAATGTTGCTAGCGGTGTGTTTGTTGGGGAGACGAGGCAATGAGAGACGACCAGCACGTTCTTATCAGTTCCTATCAGATATTGATAATACGATGTTTTCGCGGAAAGGCGAGGGTATCCTGCTTCACCAATATATAGCTACTCCCGGGTAACACCAGGCCAACCCGTGGTCATAGTAGCCTGAAATTGAACTGCAAACACTATTTATACCAGTAAACACGGTTACACAAACTCTGCCGCTATTACTGAAATAAACCTCGAATGGCTTCAGCCTGGTTCCTGGGGTCTGCTGCGCTAACGCTTCGTGTCGCAGCAGACCCCGGAAACCAGGCCGCAATGGCTTCCTCTTGCGACTCCCAATCTTCAAAAACACGTGGCGGCAAAGAAATGAAAAATGAATCATGAAGTACGAAACATGAATCAGTTATTGGATTTCATATAACCACACCTTTGCTATGGACCACATGGACTAAAATATCTACTGGTTGTTTTACCCTAATGTGATGGCACTGTTGCACAAGTCCTTTGTACCCTATTTATCCTTCTAATGCTATAGTATCATTATCAGGTGTGGTATATTGTCATTATCATGTGTGGTATATTATCATGTATCATGTGAGGTATATTGTCATGTATCATGTGTGGTATATTGTCATCATGTGTGGTATATTGCCATTATCATGTGTGGTATATTGTCATGTATCATGTGTGGTATATTGTTCCGTGTGTTTCATATTGTCAGGTAGCTAGCTGAAGATGTTTGTTTTGAACATTTTGTGCGCGATACAATATAAATATACACACACGATTATCACAAGAACATCACGAAGATTACATCATACAGAACCACAGCAGGTGACTGAACACACAGACATCAAAGTACATGTATACGTTTTACCATTTCAACTCTGAACACAATAATACTTTAAACTTAAACCCGTTTCTTAAAACTTCACGGAACCCATTCTTAATAATTAGGTGATGAATCGAGTTTTAATTTTTGTAAATACGAATTAATCTTTGTTCATGGAGGATTGAACTAGTCTTGGGTTCAAGGCCACATCCTTCCACAAAGGTAGACAACTGCGGCTGTAATCACAGCAAACGTCACTGAAAGAAAATGTTAAGAAATGTTTAGACATCAATTATGTAGAGCTTTGGAGACCAAGCCAGCGGATTCAACGAGGTAATGTATGTCGAGCTTTAATAATTTGAGGTAATTATGTTAAACATTTGAGAAGGATAATCTCCCCCGGCACATCTAGGGAGTGTTCCTGTAACGACGATGTTCAGAGAGATAGAGTTCTTGGGTTCATTTACCTCTGTACAACGTGTCTAATACAAAAGAATACGACGCCAGAAAAATTAATTAGGACGCGTTTCGGTAATTGCATAAAAAGAGAGAGTAAAACTATTAAGGACAAAAATACAACAACAAAAAAACACACACACAAAACCCCCACCACCCTTCTAAAAACCCAAAACGAAAGTCCCGATAATTTAATGATATACAAGTATGCTGAAACACACGCTGAACCAAACATGACAGGGTGTACGTACATTCACTTGTGAGGCTGCCAGCAGAGGATGTCGGCTTCTCTGGTTTGGGTGGTGGTGACTTCGTAACTATTAAAGAAAGACACATATAGATCACGTGATATATCTAGTGGGGTTGTTCTGAAATCGTTACATATCACGATCCAGGATCAAACTTTATCTTTTTCAATAACTGAGGTTAGTTCCTCTGGGTTTCCAGGTGACGAACAAATACTGGAAACACTTTAGTTACACTTTAGCATGATGTGACTTCGATGAATATACAATTATCTGACTTAGTTTGTTTGAGTGAGTCGGTGAGTCAGCTGGTTTTGATGCAACGTTGACAGAATTTCAGATTTATTAGGCTGAAGAGATGCATGAGCATTGGCATGGGGATATTTTAGGAGAATCTTGGACTCGAACCCACGGTCGTAGTGTTCTGGCACACCAAGGGGGCGCAACTCTGGTTAATACAACGCCTTGGACAACAGGCCGCCTGTAATTTTAGATATGCATGTGGGTTGATATGACACACATGTGGGTCACCTACCTTCAACGTTGATGATAGAGAGAGTTCCACTGACGGATCCAGTGACAAACAGAACAGGCTTGCCTGTTGGGCTCTTGTCAGCACTCACAAACCTGAACAGGTAATTTACAATCATCAACACAACATATCTATTAATGTACAGTAGTCATTAATTAAATTAAATATATCATCATTACTTTTACAGTTTTCAAGGGTATATAAATCATTTCCATCGAATGTAACGTTGTCATCGAGTAATGTATCATATCATATATACATTTGTATAGCGCCGATATCCAGCTCCGCTCAGCTGCTCAAAGGCGCTTTGTTTTTCCCTCGTTCACTGGATGTCAATCTCAACGGCACATCGTATTGTCAATCTCAACTCCCTGGGGAGCATACAAACTCTTGCAGCCACTAGGCGCACCGAGTTATTGTGGCATTCCCATCCTTACGAGGTACCCATTTACAGCTGGGTGCACTGGGACACATAGTCACAGTACTTTGTCCAAGTTCACTGCACGTTGCTGTACCCGCAACTGGGTGTTTGCACGTATTCATGTGGCCACCATCTGGTCATATACCTACGGATTCGTGGGTTCTTTTAAGTGCACAGGGTTGTGTACTGTACACTAGGGGTTGTGACAACACTGAAAGAGTCTGCACACAAAGTTGACTCCAAGGTTTTTACACCCGGTCACAGGTGGGCTCGATCCCGTCACCTCAAGCTCGCTGGATCACTAGCCTGGCGCTTTAGCCAGTTCGCCCACCGCGCCCCCATGTTGTGTTATTAAGACCCTAAAAACCACGACAAGAGACCATGTCATTTATTACTTCGAACTGATTCAACCCCGTGTCAAATTAGGGAGTGAAAAATATAAATGTAGTCAACAGACTGGATAATGGCATAGTTCTTCGTTACAACCTTGGACCTACTTAATGTCTTCGCAGTCAATCTCCGAGAGCTGGCGATCATCGTACAGTTCCTGCCATGACTTGGTCCTCGTGGATGGGATGCCGGTGTAGATGTCGTGAAACTCGGGTTTCATCACGTCGGAATCTAATGAGTATACAAAGATGGTGCCGGGGCGCTCGTTCGCCACAAACAGTAGCGTCCGTCCCTCCAGCTCCCCAGTCGCGACTGCCTCGGTCTCCATGCCCTACAACGACAAACAGAAAATCAGGGATGGTGTAGGCTAGGGTAAGGGACAGGGTTCAAGGGTAGGGTTCAGACAAGGTCACGATCTGGGTCAAGTTTAAGGTCAAGGCTCAGGATCAGGTTAAAGGTCAGTTTCAAGGTCAGGTCAAGGACTCGGGGAACTTATGACTCGGGGCTAATCTTCTTTGTACATGATGGATAACATGCTTTCGGTGCAATCCTATGGATTAAATGACAGGTCACTAATAGAATCTGAGGTGCTGACAGGATTGGTTTACAATTTGTGTCTTACAAATCTATCTTTAGCCGATGACTGTGTTGGGTTTGCCCGTTTTCTATTCGCATATATGCAGGACATGCATGACAGGGAGCTCGCCAAAAATGTATTAATTATTGCAAATATACAAGTATTCGCTGACTGTAATGATAGTAAATCAATCAAATAACTGAAAAACGTATTACACTGCATGCGTGTAATGGGCTGGGATCAGAGGTCGGAGATCGGAGGTCAGGGTCGGGGGTCGGGAGTTGGGGGGTCATTGCTGGTTTCAGGGAGTTGGGGGGGTCATTGCTGGTTTCAGGTTATCAGGTCTTACTTTGTTTCTTGATCGCAGGTCATAGTCTTCAAATGGTCTGTGAGATGCTTTACCCATGTGACCATTGAACAGGTCCCTGTTGTGGACGTAAAGTCGTTTTGAAAGGTCATCACCGCTGTCATACACCAGCGACATGTCGTTTGTTCGCCGGATTGAAAAACTCCGCCCACCAAAAGTGTAGAGAGCTTCGAGATTCCCGGACGAGTTTTTACCGGCTGGAGATACCGATACCTTCAAACGACCTGTTTAAACAAGATTAATACTAAGTAAAACCCCTACTCAAGTATGAGGAGTATGCGCATGGAATAATGAAAAACAGATTAGTGTAAGTACCACCTTATAGTGGGGTATTTTGTGTTTTCTACTATATTGTTTTATGCCGCAGTCAGTATTAGACCAACACTGCCACTTGAAACAAGTGGAGACCTGCTTAATATGATGAGGAATCTACGTACGCCGTTCGGGTACAGTGACGTAACATCAACCTAGTCCCCGATTCTGGCAATTTAGTGGTTAAAGCGTTCGCTCGTCATGTCGAAGACCCGGGTTCTATTCCCCACATAGGTACAATGTGTGGAGCCCATTTCTGGTGTCCCCCGCCGTGATATTGGTGGAATATTGCTAAAAGCATAAAATCTAGCTCACTCACTAACCCGAAATTCTGGGTACTGGTGGCCCATTTCAGTCGTCAAAGATTCCACAATTCATTGAATAGCGTTACTATCATCGGGGGTTCGAACTGCAGTGTGCCATGATCGCGTTTCTAAATTTGTCAGGACAATACCTGTTCTCGTGGGTTACCAAAAGTGGTAAACATCTGAGACAGACCTCGGTTGCTGCCGTCACGCCGTGACAGCCGAATTAGCAAACTAACTTACTCACTTAACCGGTGGGTCAGTGGGGTAACCTAATGGTTAGCCTAATTCAATTTCAGTATGCTGAAGACCCAGGTAAGATTCCCAACATGGGTACAATGCGTGAAGCCCATTTCTGGTGTCCCCCGCCATCATATTGCTGGAATATTGCTAACAGCGGCATCAAACTATTCTCACTCACTTAGCCGGAATTCCCAATGGGTTCTTACCAAGCAGAGTGTCACGTGTCAGCTGATCCTGTGTGGTGGCATCTAGGGTAGGCAGCACTGGAAGGAATATTCAGTATATTTTAGTTGGTATATAACAAAATATTGTCAGTGTTAGCACCCTTTGTGACAACATTTGGCGTGTGAAATAATTTAGATGGAGATCATAGTCTGTCGTAAAATAAGATCTGAATACCCACAAGAATCCAGTTTATTTCTCTCTTAGGCACCGTTCATAATTTATGGCTAGGGGATGAGGTGGGGGTAGGGTGGGAGGTGATGATTTCAAGGTGTGTGTGTGTGTGGGGGCACCAATTTGTTCTGGGGAGCTGGGGGTCATCAATTTTGAACATACGTTCTAGGGGGAGGGTCACTATATTATGTTTAAACTTATGCTTAGATATTATGGGAAGGGGAGGGGTATCATTGATTTGTACATGATAAGCAAGGGGAGTGTCACTTATTTTGTACATATTGAAAACCTACATGTAGAAGACAAGTTACCTATTCTGTCACTTCATTTTCAGTCAAATAATTGTGATTAGTGTCAGTATAAGTACAGTAGATTTGTAGTAAAGTTTCAAGTCGGCATGTTGTAGCTCACTGGCTTCAATTCTCAGTACACAGCCAAGAAAGACTAAATTATATCGCTAAAAACTTCTTTCACATATTCGTTTAATTTTTAGAAGGGAAATATACCTTTAGTTGAAAGGTGTGTGCAAGTAATAGTGATAGTTTTATAACTAACAAAATTTTGTTAGGGTGTATTTGAGGTGTGTGAAAAATATAACATATCGCCGATCTGCCATTGAAATACTACAGGGCGTTGTTTGAGTGTTTCTAGTTATTGTTCAAAAACATCTTTCACATACACCTTCAATTTTTATGAGGGGAATATACCATCAGGTGAAAGGTGTTTGCAAGTAATAGTGATAGTTTTATCATTTAAAAAAAATTGTTAGTGTGTATTTGAGGTGTGTGAAAAATATGACATATCGCCGATCTGCCATTGAAATACTACAGGGCGTTGTTTGAGTGTTTCTAGTTATTGTTCAAAACATCTTTCACATACACCTTCATTTTTTATGAGGGGAATATACCATCAGGTGAAAGGTGTTTGCAAGTAATAGTAATAGTTTTATAATTTAAAAAAATTTGTTTGTGTGTATTTGAGGTGTGTGAAAATTATGACATATCGCCGATCTGCCATTGAAATACTACAGGGCGTTGTTTGAGTGTTTCTAGTTATTGTTCTAAAACATTTTTCACATACACCTTTAATTTTTATGAGGGGAATATACCATCAGGTGAAAGGTTTTTGCAAGTAATAGTGATAGTTTTAATTTTGTTTTGTTTTTGTTAGGGTGTATTTGAGGTGTGTGAAAAATATGACATATCGCCGATCTGTTCTGATACGCCATTGGTGCTTGTGATGCTTGAGTGTTATAGTTCTAAAACTTCTTTCTTTCTTGTTGATCTTAGTATTTGACAAAACTGGAAAGGTGTTTGGGGAGGGATGGCCGTTGTCATTCATTCACATATGTTCTTTTTCTTTTGTTCTTTTTCTTAATTTCTTTCATTCATTCACATTATAATTCTTGCTGTTAATTAATTCATTCATTCATTGTAAAATTCCGACTGATACAATACACTGGCTGAAGTACTGTTAAACGCTCCCTGATATATTTTAGGGGGGGGGGGCACACACTGTACATACTTCTCCATAAAAATCATCATCACACCCCTAGCCATACATTATGAACGGTCCCTTATCTCTAAGACCTTGAAACATGTAATATCTACATATATGAATTCTTGGTCACCGGTCAGTGAGTCCAAACTTAGTCTACTGTTGGGTACACAGAATTTCACAAACCACCACGAATCAAGTGTCATCCATGATTTCCAGTTATCCATTCATAAGCTCAATGAAATGTGCTTCGGTGCATAATCGAAACTCGATATTCTCTACCGTTGACATTATATATTTATGACAGTGACTATATGACTATAAGCACTTTCAGTAACTTACTACTGGCGGGAATGTTCCCCGCTTTCTCTTCCTCGCTCCAACTGTAGGTACCGAAATTATAGTCCTTCGCGTCCCCTTCGTTTGCCATGAGCAAATAATCCACGCCCTTGAAGCGGAAGAAGACTGCCGTGTCGCTCTGGTACATGCCCATTACAGAGTAGGGGTAGAGGAAGGCACCTGCAATACACACACCTGCAGTGATCTCATGTGAGACAAAACTGACTAGGACATGCCCATTACAGAGTAGGGGTAGAGGAAGGCACCTGCAATACACACACCTGCAGTGATCTCATGTGAGACAAAACTGACTGGGACATGCTGCACCTGCAATACACACACCTGCAGTGATGTCATGTGGACAACAAACTGGGACATACCCATTACTGGGACATGCCCATTAATACACAGAGACTGGGACATACCCATTACAGAGAAGGGTAGAGGAAGGCACCTGCAATACACACACCTGCAGTGATGTCAGGTGGGACAAAACTGACTGGGACATGCCCATTACAGAGTAGAAGGCAATACACACACCTGCAGTGAGAGGACAGCCCATTACAGAGTAGGGGGTGAGGAAGGCACCTGCAATACACACACCTGCAGTGATGTCAGGTGGGACAAAACTGACTGGGACATGCCCATTACAGAGTAGGGGTAGAGGAAGGCACCTGCAATACACACACCTGCAGTGATGTCAGGTGGGACAAAACTGACTGGGACATACCCATTACAGGTAGGGGACACCTGCAATACACACCACAAAACTGACTGCATGATGTCAGACAAAACTGACTGGGACATACCCATTACAGAGTAGAGGTAGAGGAAGGCACCTGCAATACACACACCTGCTGTGATGTCAGGTGAGACAAAACTGATTAGGACATACCCATTACAGAGTAGAGGTAGAGGTAGAGGAAGGCACCTGCAAGTGATCATCACTTGCTTGATAACGGTGTTAGAACCTACACTGAAATGTCGCTCTCACAGCAATAAAGAAGTTGTTCATCCATATATTGTTATCCTTCCTTACGAAAACCATTACCAGTTTATAAAACCGCCGCTAACCTGAAAATCATTTTAAAGCAATGAAGCAAATAACTGTAGCCAAGTGGTTAAGCCGAATAAAGCGTCGAACCATAACCACAAGTATGGACACAGCAATAAACATAACAGTGAATATATTCGATGATTCGTTATCTACGCCTAGCGTCATGACGATCAACATAGTTCTGGGCCCGCACCCGGGGGTGATGGGGTAGAGTGGTGGCTTAAGTGTTTGCTGCTCAAGCCACATAAATGCTGTAGGTGAAACCAATTCCAGGAGTCCCCCGCCGTGATACTGTTGTCATATTTTTCAAACTGGCGTAGACCCAACTCACTCACTCACTCACTCACTCATACCTCGGTCTTCGTCCGAAGGGTCAAGCGTGAGCTTGCTCCAGTCCTTGTAGCCCAGTCCATGTACTCCGGTGATGTTCTGACTGACCAGGTCCACTGTGGCCACTGCGTTGTTTTCCTGAAGCAGGACACAATATTAAAACGGGACATTGGATTGAGTAGTTAGGGTCGGTGGTTGTGTTCTGAATGTGAGTGAGTGAGTTTAGCTTTACGCCGCACTCAGCAATATTCCACCTCGGCGCTGTGTAAATAATCGAGTCTGGACCAGACAATCCAGTGATCAACTGCATGAGCATCGATCTACGCAATTGAGATACGATGACGTGTGTCAACCAAGTCAGCGAGCCTGACCACCCGATCTCGTTAGTCGCCTATTACGACAAGCATGGGTTACTGAAGATCAGTTCTAACCCGGATCTTCACGGGTCATGAATGTGATCATCCATCAATACAATTCCAGGTATAATAACCATCCAGGGTGATACAAGATGACGTTCAGGGCCTTGGCTTTCGAAGCTGTCTTAGCGCTAAGATATTCGTAAGTGTCATACATTAACATTAACTTACGATTATCTAAGCGCTAAGAGAGCTTCGAAAATCTAGGCCTTGGACCAGGATGGCCGGCGGTCATTGCCATCGACTCTCGATGACAGACATTCACAACTATATTGAACCAATGTGACTGAGGTGTTACTTCCGGGTCACCGGTGTTAGACAAACGAGTGATTACTGTCATGAGCATGAGCAACGATAATTTATGTCATCGGACTAGTGACCTTCTGATCCCAATCTAGCTTGGCTCTTGAAACTGTAGACCCTTCTAGAGATCTGTCCCGGAGTCCTTACAGGTACGAAACGAGTATGACCGATCCAAACTTAACACATGTATTATGACATATTTAGTCAATCTGGGTTCTGATGAGATGGAGAATATATGGCGCGGTGTGGCATTTTCTCAGCATGGGAACCTAGTGATGGCACTTCCCTATCCACATTCAGAATCCCTACACTGCTGTATCAATTCACTCTACCAAAGTAGTCCTGTATGTGTACCTGCAGAACGATGTATGCCACGGTGTCGTCAGCGTTGAGGGCCACGTACTCAGGTTCCACGTCGTTGGAGAAGGGGTTGTTGTTCTCCTGATACACGTGACGGACACCGGACGACCGGAGGTCAGCCACCCTGGAGCATCACAAAATATGTATCTATGAATTGTGTGATCTATATATATTGTGCAAAGGCAGCCTCGTTTATCCGCATGGCACTGTCTGGATAGAGAAAATTTCTGATCAACCAATCATCGTCATTTATATATTCAAAACAACAACAAATGGAGATGCTCTGATCTTACCTGTCATTATATTTTGTGAAGTTCAGCGATGTCTTTGTGTAGTTGCTGATGGTGTCATGGAAGTTGATGATGACGACGAGGCCCTCGGGGTCAGTGATCTGGTTTGGGGGGTTCTGATACGCCTCGCCCTCAACCGCCACGATCAACTTGGAACAGTCGTGGGTAGGCTTCAACATGTCGGGGACGGCACCCACTGTAAACATGGAATAGACCGGTGTGCTGTAGTACTTGGTCCTAATGTAGGACAGACACGGCGGTCTCACTTCATTGAAGGGTAAGAGGCGACTAACGGGATCGGGTGGAAATGCTCGCTGACTTGGTTGACACACGTCATTGTATCCCAATTGCGTAGATTGATGCCCATGCGGTTGATCACTGGATTGTCTGGTTGAAACCCGATTATTTACAGAACGCCGCCATATAGCTGGAATATTGCTGAGTGCGGCGTTAAATATCAAACGAACAAACAAATGATTGGAAGAACGACCGGAGCACCCTTAAAAAACCTAATGCATCCTGAGGATGCAAATTTTGGGCACAGCCAGACATATGGAGAGAGCCAAATATTCTTATCTATCAAGACCACAATAAGGCGTCACGTTAAAAGACCTTCCAAACAGTATTTGTTTATAATTGTTATAAGTAGTATACAAAAACGGAAACTTCGAATTCACCGAGACAATATCGAGATACTCGTAGTTCGAGACAAATGATATATCGAGTAAACGAATCTTCTTACCTGGAATCTGAACGACCTCTGATATCGACCTTGAAGTGGCGTTGTAGGCCGAGTAGATAATGACCCTGCCATTGGCTCTCTCCGCCTGGTCGTCAACGGCCGTGAAGACGTAGCCTCCGCAGAACTCGACGTCCGTGAAATCCACGTTTTCCATCTCGACGTGGGCCACGATTGTCATGTTGTCTGGGTTGGACACATCGATGGCATGGATCACGGTGCCGCCTGTCAAGAGAAGGTGAGACGAGTCAGTAAAATAAGGATGAGTGAGTGAGTGAGTTGAATGAGTGAGTGGAGTGAGTGTTCATATCATAGCGGGTAGGGTAGCCTAGAGATTACAGCTTTCGCTCGTCACGCCGAAGACCCAGGTTCGATTCCCCACATGGGTACAATGTGTAAAACCAATTTCTGGTGTCCCCTAGCGTTGTATTGCTGTAAAGTTGCTAAAATCGGGGTAAAACCACACCTACTGAATCCAGCCCACATGACAGCAATGGGATCCACACTTTGTACACACCGACAACGACCGGATACCCAGAGGCTATTTAATATGTTTTCATATCAGACAACCCATCAAACATGTTGAGCAACCCGAGTCACCCTGTCGCCTCATACGAGAAGCACAGATTGCTGGGGGCCCTGTTTTAACTTGGAATTCCTGCCGCTTTTTTGTGTTTGATGTTTTCGGGGGTTTTCTAAATAACATGTCGATCTTTTCAAGAGAACTAACAAATATATTTTTGAAATACACAATGTCATTTTAGAAAGTGGTCAAATGTAACATATGTTATATTTGGTGTTACACTTTCTTAGTAAAGTACAGATTCTAGTGCTTTATATATATTTTTAAGTTTTGGGTAGAAATGCCAACATTTGCTGGTCAGGCGTGACAGGTATTTGACAAACGTCATAGTAATTCGCTTACTCGAGAAACAAATGGTACAGATGGGTAAGTAGGTGATATTATTTCAGGTCAAAAGTATCCTATCATTAAATACGTGCATTGTAATATAAACGAAAGCTTGACAATTTTCGAGGTTTCTGTACTTTGGGGTCTGACAAAGATTGTGTTACGTTATAACGTCACTAACACTATCACCGCATCCCGCGTGAATCATCTTAACACCTTTGAAAAGGGCAGGCAAAATGTGGTAATTCGTCACATTTTACACACATTCAACAAGTTCTATATGTCCTTCACCTTTACTTTTACAATTCTACACAAAGACCTGTAATGAAATGCTTAGCTTTCATTGTGAAAATATCACGAATTGTGTGTTTTTTTCATTTTGTCATTTCATCCTTTGTTTACAATGATTCAGCATGTGCAGACATCGAGGATCTACGGGTGGCTGAAGAGGATTACGTTGCGAATCGGGCGGGAAAGGGAGGCTGGTCACGTGTTTATGCACATTCCGGTGCTGTGATCACGTCGTGTTACACACCTGCAGCTACTTCACATCTCTCAATACCAGACCTGTCACGACTCAACAAACACACGTGTGTAGGCTGAAACTTATCGTCCCCAGAATACTTACATGTCAAAACGAACTCCAAAACACGTCTGATGAAAGTGAGTGAGTATGGTTTTACGCCGCGTTTAGCAATATTCCTACAATATCACGGTGAGGGACATCAGAAATGGGCTTCACACATTGTACCCATGTGGGGAATCGAATCCAGGTCTTCAGCGTGACGAGCGAACGCTTTAACCACTAGGCTACCCCACCGCCCCTTGTGACAAAAAAGTATATTGCGAGTTAGGTGTATATGATGTCATCCCAATAGACGAGTCCGTTTAAAGTATGGTCACCGTGACTTTACTATGTGTATTGAGGTCATCTACCCGAGACAAGGGTATTAACCGACATATTACTTGCATTTGTTAGAAATAAAATGCCCGCGCCGGTCCAGCTCGATCTGGTCGATGATCAAGATCTTTATCATAATAAAACATATCTTACTCAGCGAAGTTCGTCAATATTTCGAGAATCTTGATTAAACACACGACAGGGTTCGGGAAGCATCTGATCTCTGATCTGTACAGATCAGGAAATCTACCGAGATCTCCACGGTAGTCTGGCTGCCAGTTGTCGATTTCGAGAGCGACCATGTTCGCTTTGACTCGTTAGTCAAGTTAACTAAATAATTCCAGCAAAGTTCGGCAAAGGTGGAAACTGGACTGCTATAGTCACTGTATTTGTTTGTTTGTTGTTTAACGTCGCACCCTGTAATATTTCAACTGTATGACGGCGGTCTATGAATAATCGAGTCTGGACCAGACAATCCAGTGATCAACAGCATGAACTTAGAGCTATGCAATCGGGATAGAGTAGCATGTATCAGCATTAAATGCAATGTACTGTGACAATGCAAATATGTAATACTTTCCTATAGAATTACAGTCCTATTATATAAATATATAAAGTAACTGTTATTTCTGACGAGTGAGTGTAGTTGTACGTAAGTAAGTGGCACAAGGAACTGTTTCAGTCAAATGACGTGTCAACTTTACATGAACGGGAAGTCTGCAAAAACGGATGATTTTTCACCATCTTTGTAAAACCCACGAGAACATATAGTGTCCTCACAGACTGGTATTATAAAGGTATGAGTGAGTACAAGTCGATTTTGAAATTCAATATTAAAATATTTACCAGATCCTTAGATGCCCTTACGAATGTTGGATTATACATTCCCAGATACTACTCAGCATGAATGTGCTTCAAAACACTGGAAAACAGTTGAATACAGCTCATGTAATTATGAATATTACACCTTTGGGTTTATTCGAGATAACAATTTGAACATACTATATTAACCTTCTTGTATATAGTGATATTTATATGAACAGATTCTATTTTGGTTGAGAATTATTTGCTGAATCAGCAGGAATGCAGTGTACTACAGAATACCTGTTGAAAGGTAATATAATTCAAGTAGCCCGTAAGCCGTTCAACCCCTTCCCAGCGGTTTAAGTAGTAAATGTACTTTTGTTTGGGGACCGATGGGTTTACAACCGCGTTGTTAAAGCGTTTCCCCTTCACGCAGAAGTTCGATTAACTTCGTAGGTACAAAACGTGAAGCCCATGTGTGGTGTTTACAGTCGTGTTTTACTGGAGTATGGATGAAAGCGGACAGGGCTAGCAAGTGGACATATTTCTATGTTTATACATCTGTTAACTTTGTTTAGATGTAAATTATTGAGTGTTCATGGATCGATGAACAAAGGGTACCTTTGTGCGCATCCTAAGGCAAAGAATACACAGTCTGATCTCTCGTTAGAAAGTCTTATGATTTTGACATGGCGATGTTGTCAAAGTCGGATACTCTTAAAAAGAGAGCATGAAACAAACAGAAAGCACAGCCTCCTTGGTAAATGTGCCCAGCAAATTGGGGTATATAATGTTTAACCTATGGTGGCTTATTAGGGCAATTACAATATGCCATCGGTTATCTTCGGTAAAGTCCGCGGGAACCTTTAGGTGTGACATGAAACAACTCTTGCGCGAACACTGTTGATCATGGCTGTTACAACATGCAAGGCATCCAAAAAGCTTCCAGTACGTTTATCGCAAACACGCGAAGAATATTTCAAATTTGAGGCGTCAGTGAAAACGTAATGTCCGATGCAAATCCCCAATTTGACTGGATTCTTTACTAGGGGTCGGTATTGCAGAGATTTTTCATATTGCGATATATTGCGATGCGAAAGCATATATTGCAATATGTATTGCAATAAATGGCAAGAAGTGTTTTTTTTAAAAAAAACCCCTACTTATACTCGAATTCATGCTTGATTTATAAAGAAAAACACAACAAAATCATCATGTTTGATTAACCTTTTATAAAAACTTTTAATCATGACAAAATAAAAATGTAAATAATATTTGGCACAAATGAAACAAGGCAATATCCGAAGATTTCCGAGTGTTACGAAGTTTTCCGAATGCATGTCAAAATACCGGTTTTCGATCAGCGTATCGCAATACGTATCGTTTTCATGTCTGAACCGGTAAATACCGGTAAACCGGTTATATTGCGCAGCCCTATTCTTTACCAGGTAAACAATTAACCTGTCTTTGCATCTGTTTGTGAGGGGCGTGGTCGGTAGAGCAGGATACGTTCCTCATATTTGCGAACACCTGAAGTGCTTCATAGTGCTTCATGAACACATACCTAAGGTAAAGTCGGTGTCGTAACATGGTTTTGGTGTGAATATCCCTAGATACACAATCGTGCTGAAACTCTGGATAGCAAAACAAATTATCGATGTCTCTCTGACAATAATTCATGCTGTCTTGTGCGATTGTGTAACCACCGTCTAATGAAAAAGATAAGCATTTGAAATCCATAATAATTCATCGAACCTTAATGCTTATCCAACAGTGCAGCGCAAAGGTCGGCCCCAGTCGTGACATTCCAGGCCGCTCCACTCGCAGGCTTCAAGCGGATGGTGATTTATACCCCGATGAACATAACACGTTCAATGACCTAGCTCGCTATTGGTGTACTGTGGACGCATGCCATGAGTGAGAGCATGTGTGAGAGCACATGTGACACCATCTGCTACTTTATGCTTGAATTCAGTTTGCACAGGGTGAAATCTTACGATTTACGTTTTTATTGTATTAATTGCAGGCATAAAATCTATAGTTGTTGACACAGTATGTGCGAAAATAGGAAAACATGATAATACATCAATATAAACTTATCAGCAAGTAATTATACTTCACCACATAATTAGTATTCTAAATACATCAGAGATCACTATATTGTTCCTTAACTTACAAACATTTTCATTGTTGTACAACTTTAGTTTTTTACGGGTTTGCCTAACGGGCACCTGCTTAAACCAGTAAATAGCAACAAATGGACTATGAAAACTAACTCAGACTCTTTATTTTCGTAGATGATGGCCGTTGAGGCCTATAGTACAGTGACGTGATGTATATGGAGAATCATAATGGCATGAGCGCCCGCTCATTGTTTCGCAGAGTGAACATTTTGGTCAGATAGATAGCAGTATTAAACAATACAACAAGTAGTGATACTTCATTACATGTTGTACACCAAATACATATTATAATCACTAGAGCTGGATATTGCCCTGATTCTCATATCTCGATATATTGCCATAATTTAAGAGATATTGAAATAGATATTATGATATATTGACAGGAATCTTTCTGTCCAAGTGCATACATCATAAATTCATAATAGCT